GTATGTATGTATGTATGTATGTATGTATGTATGTATGTATGTATGTATGTATGTATGTATGTATGTATGTATGTATGTATGTATGTATGTATGTATAGACGTTTCGAGCCTCTAAACCAGTTCCTGAATCGGTCACGTGGTACGGCGAGGCCTCAAATGTGATGTCACTACACGCGTCATCAAAGCCTCCGTGCGCTCCGCAGAAATCCTCCTGGCTGTTACTGGACTCAGGCTTCGACGCATTGCCCCAGAAGGACACATCACTGTTTAACAAGGCCACCCAGCTGCAGAGTACTGAGTGCAGGTCCCAAACTCAACTCACAAAGCAAAGGTCAGTTTGTTGAACTAAAGAGGCTGAAGGTGAAGCAGCTGAAGCTGTTATGGAGGAGGAGGAAAGGAGGAGAACTGATTCACCAGTGTAGTGAAGGAGGATAAGAGGAATGATGTGATGGGGAAGGATGGCAGGGATATGGTGGGATGGAGGTAAATGATATGGAGACCCCTATCTGACTTGATCAATAGTGATGCGAGCAGAGATGCTGTGTTTCTGATTGGTCAGGGTTTACAAAATGTTCTAAAAATAAAGAGTTCACATCCCATTCAAATATTAAAGAGATTCAAGTTCAGATCCCCGAGGGAAAACCGAAACGTACAAAATGTTACACACACTTAAGAAACAGTTACCGAAAGGGTTTTCATATGTCTAATTTTAGGTGCAGTAGGTTGTTCATTCGAAAAAATCTAAACTTCTAWACCTGTGAGTAATCTTTAAAAGACATTTTTTCAGTTATTGGACTTGAGAGATGAACTTTAAAACAAAGCTTAGTCAGAAGCGAGGATTTAAAAATACTTATTGTGAACGTTGATTTTGGTGCTGCCAAAAAAACACTGTTTTGTCATACGCAATAAAGTTTGCAGTGTTAAATCAACACTTAAAGAGTTCAGTTTAACACTGTGTCCAAGTCTATTTGGTCCTTAATGGAATTGGTGTCAATTTAACTCTTTCCATAGTGTTAAATTTTCAGAGTACAATTTAACTCTAAACAGAGTTAAAAATTAACACTGACTAACACTGTACAGTGTTAATAAAACTTAACACTTCAAGTCAAATAACTCTGATGAGAGTAGATATGATTCTAAGCAGAGTTAATAACTCCACTGTCGTGACAAATCAGCTCTGATTCTCATGATTTTCAACATTGCATTGAGTTATTGATGGTTAACACTGGAGGCTCCTATGAGTGTTAATTTGACACTCTACTGTGTTGATTATTTACTCTTTTGCTGTGTAGATGGGTGTAAAACAGACACTATTTGTCGGTTGTCTTTATCTATATATTTTATTATTTGTTTGAATGGCATTTATTTAATGTAACAGTCTGTGAAGTGCTTTCACATTTGTTCTCTTGTCTCGTGGTTTTGAACCATACCTCCTCGCTTTACATAAAAACAGAAAGCTAAACAGAAAGCTTTTGAACCTTTTTTGCCCTCSAAGATTAAAAATGTCCCTCAGCCCTCTCAAGAAAAATGACAAATACTTTTTAAGGAACTGAAACCAGAAAGTGACTGTTTTCTGGTGAATTTTCTGCACATTTCGTGAAATGTTTGCACGATGCATGTTGTTCTTTAGACGCTGTATTCACCTAAAATCCCAAGGGACAGAGAGGGTTTTAACCCTAAATACCAATTAAGCCTTTGTGTGAGTGACGTCATACATATAACAGGAACAAATTGTCTGTGTAGGCTGCAGCGTGGACAAGGGAACACAAGTGTCTCTCCATTGCAGTAGCTGCCCTTTTACACAGAAGCTTTGTGTAGCAGGGAAAGTCCTGCTTCTGATCCATCATTTCTTTCCCCGATGACACTGTTTGGCTTGCAGTAGGTGTTTTTCTTTCTCGTGGTGTTACATACATACTATTTGGAATCAATCCAGTTCAAGATGGTCACTATAGCTAACCTTTGGTAAAACAAAAAATGATGAAACCTTACTGAAATTTACAGATAAAAGGGAAACGTTTATGTCATCAGCACATCACATTTAAATCTTGGTTATTGTTGCACAAACTGACATGCATCCCTAAKTGTTTTAGGCCTTTATCTCATAATCTCTGATATATAAAATATGTAATATGCGTTCTGCTTCTTTGTCTTGTGTTTTATACTTTAGTGTTAGGAAACAGTAAAACCCCAAACTCTCAAACAGACATTCAAATATTTTTGGTTGAAAAAGAAAAAAAAATCTAAAGCGTGACTTTTGTCCATTTAGACAAAAACTGGAAAACGACAATTCAACCAGGAGCGACTCCCACAGAGACAAAGTAGCAAACGTGAATTTAATAGCTTTTTTTTTTTTTTTGGGTGCTCGGACCCTGATAGAAGTTAGGCGCTGTGAGTTACTATCAGCAGTTTAGGATGAGGATTAGAGATGTCTTCCTCCCGGCCCGGGGCCCGGACACTGGTGGTAGAGTGGAGGCCGAAGAAGAAGAAGGAAGCATGAAGGAGCTGGGAGAACGATGGTGGAGGAGGGGTGGAGGCAGGTTGTATCTTGGCTGGTGAGCTGAAGGAGCCATGGTTGGAGGGCCTTATAGGAGAGAGGACTTGCATGATGATTGGCTGCAGCGAGGCGAGAGTCGATGCTGATTGGCTGGTGGCGGAGGTGCATTATGTGGCGATTCGATGCAGCAAGGGAGGCGTCTTCTAGACTGAATGTACGTCCAGGCTTCATTTAATCAGAGGTTTATAGTAAGTGCTTGTACTTCATCACAGTACTTAAGTAATTTTTTTGAGGATTTGTAGTTTTACCAAATATTTTTTAATCGTTACTTTTACTTTTATTTCATTACATTTAAAACCTAAAAATGATCATTTTCAATTCAATTCAATTTAGTTTATTTATATAGCACCAAGTCACAACATGCGTTGTCTCAGGGCACTGTACATAAAAAGAACAATCTAAAGAAGAAGGCAACAGATTGTGTTGAATCACTTCATCACAGTCTCTCATCCTGAGCAAACGGTGGAGAGGAAAAACTCCCTGCTAATCAGGAAGAAACCTCCAGCAGAACCAGGCTCAGGACAGGCGGCCATCTGCACTGACCGGCTGGATTGGGGGACAGGAAACTGGTCCAGGACTGGTCCAGGTGCACCTTCCTCTGAAAAAGAGACAAAGAAAAAACATGTTAATGATAGAAATAATTACAATAAACATGTAGAGAAGAGAGAATAAAGACAACAGCAGAGTGAGGAAATGTGCTCAGTTTGTGCTCCAGCAGTCTAAGTCTATAGCAGCAGAAATGAAGAATAATTCAGGAAACCTAAGTTTAACTATAGGATTTCTGAAAAAGGAAAGTCTTCAGTCTAAGTCTATAGCAGCAGAAATGAAGAATAATTCAGGAAACCTAAGTCTAAATATAGGATTTATCAAAAAGAAAAGTCTTCAGTCTAATCTTAAAAGTAGACAGAGTGTCAGCCTCACGGACAGAAACTGGAAGTTGGTTCCACAAGAGAGGAGCT